CAAAAAACAAACTACAAATAAACTTAATTTACTCCACAACAGTACTATCACAGTCCAGCAAAGAATTTTTCTTCAAAAATAATAAGCAAGCTCTTGATACAACTTCAAAAACTAACAGGAACATTCGACATTGTTTTGCAAACTAGTATTGTATCCACAAAGTGGTTCATTAAGTAAATACCCACTTGGGTTGCAGCTGAGTTCACAAACTGTATAATTTTCCTCCTTCATTAGCCAGATGTATACAAATAAACCTCTGTCTTAAGGTACACCTTCGTATTACTTTAGTTTTGTTTAAACAAGGTACTTGGTTTGGGAATTATAGAGATGAATGTCTGGATAAAGATTTGAAATGAAAACTGTCCACCTGGGCCTCGGAATGTAACTAGCAAAAATGTAAGTATCGTACCTTAATACTTGTACATATTTTAATCTATCTCTTTTGGTTACGAAATTTTGTTTAGTATAAAATGTACACATTTTGTCTGAGAAAAAAATTCCACATAACCGAAGAATATTACATCTGTAGGTAAGTTCTATATTTGGTTTTATCTACAATTTTAATTATTATGTGTGTCATCTCGTTTTTTACTCAACAAACAAACATACCAAATAAATGTCAAGTAAAAAAGTAACAAAAACAATCTTCAGATTACATTTAAGTTGGGGAACACAAAACCTCAACAGCAGTAATGGCGGAATGGACCACATCAATAAGGGGTGTCGGCTACAAAGATAAAAAATAAAGAGAAAAGAAACCATTGCATTAAACTGTTGAGGATAAAACACGCTGTTCGCTGGTAAGTAAGGATGATAGCGAGGCTTATCTTTTTTATTTTGAACTTTTTTCTTGTCACAATATTTTGATGGGAGCTCGGAAGTGATTTCGTTAAAAGACCTTTAAGTGAGGAAGAATTTTATACTGCTTTTGAAGTATTAATGTCTGCGCCACGCTTTATTGTGATTGCACTTTTATTTGGTATCAGAAGGATAATAACGATTGATCATTGATAAAGACACAAGAGTCTAGAGAGTCTCCGGTCGGCAGCTAATAACCCACACCATGCATTAAAATCCATATTTTAATTCTAGCCAAAACAAGGATTCATGTCTTAATTACTCTGTCAATTTAAAAATAATAATATTACTTATCTTATTTTCCAAATCTACACCTTATTTGCCTGATAATATCTATACGTCATGTCATTGCAAAGACATCTACTTATTAGGATAGGATAGGATACAAATTGCTTTGCCAATCTATGCGTACAGAATAATTGATCCATGATAACATTCTCATTTTGAACTATCGTAATTGGCCATCGGTTCGTTTGTTAAAATGAGAAACGTTAAATTGTGATCCTTTGGTGTTCGATAACGCAATCAACGTCGATTAAAGTTGATATTCAAATATTGCCTATCGAAATACATTATCTATTCCTGTATTTAGTTTGAGCTTTTGGTTTTACATTGTTATTTGACTTGAATTGTGTATTCACATTGTGTACACATGTAGGGTAATAGAATGTGGTACATAAAATTAATGATGTTTAATACAATAAGTAATGTAATGACATTCATTTTGTCTATTAGTCTTAACTTATGCAAAATTAAACAAAATTTAAAAAGGGATCGTTTATTAGGAACGAATATTTCTTCATTTTTGTAAGCCTTCTACGAAAAACAAATACTATGCTAAAAAACCATAACAAAAATGCTGAATATGGTTCCACTCTTTATACAGATGGTAATTTTAAATCAGATTATAGTCTTTCTTAATCATATCGGCTGCCTTCTCTGCAATCATGTACACTGTGCCCATGGGGTTTCCTCTTGTAATTGTAGGCATCACACTAGCGTCAGCTACACGTAGACCTTTCACGCCATGAACTCGCAATTTGCCATCGACGACGGTACCCATGGGGCATGTGCTGGTCATGTGACTCAATCCAGAAGACACACACATTACGTAACAGCGCCAATACTCTCGGGTATCTTTTCCGAATTCATTACAAGCGGGATATGCATCTGACATTACGGCGTCTACTTCCCTATAATAAGTGGTATTCATGATTGGAAGATAATCAAAAATGTAATCAACTAGAGCCTCAACATCGTCTTTGTTCGAAAAGAAGCCATTGTAAACAAGAGGAGCATCTTCCGGATTAGTACTTTTCAACAATACCTTGCCTCTTGACTTTGGCGCAATGTTTAATATCTCATTGAACGCTTGAAGACGATTTATAGCTTGTTTGTGCATGTTGTTACAAATTTCATCACTAAATCGGAAAGCAAATGTGCAATAGTACATCATATTCTCCGCGGAAGCTATGTAAGTAATTACTTGGTAATCAGGGTAGTTGGACGACTTGTTCAGAGCAACAAAACCAGTGAACGATGAACCAGGTAACTCATAAGGACTGGGTTGTGGGAAAGGTTCAGTTAATTTGTCCATATTGTGTATAAGAACGACACAAATGTGTTCCTGCAGATTTTCGCCTACTGGCAAGTTTGAAACAACTTCAATATTTTTACTCTTCAAGTGTTCCTCGGGTCCGACACCAGACAGCATCAATAGTTTGGGGGAGTTAAATGTCCCAGCCGATACGATAACTTCTTTTTTAGCGTTCAAATTCATCTTTTTACCGTCTTCTGTCAGTACTTCCACTCCCACGGCCTTTTTGTTGTCGTCGAACAATATTTTAGTGGCCAAGGTATTTTTCAAGACATGAAGATTGCGGCGATCCTTGACTGACGATAAAAATGCGTATGCTGAGCTCTGTCGGGATCTACTAGAGATAGTGAAAGTCTGTGCAGAATAGCCTAAAGGATGATGTTCGTTGAAATCTAAAACTATATCATTTCCAAGTTCTCTGTATGCTTCTAAGAATTTCTCAATCTCTTTACGATGATCTCTGTTAATTCCTATATAGCCGTCAGTTCCATAGTATTCCTTATCTGTTGAGCCTAATAGTTGGGGATCTTCTAATCTACCAGTTTTTAAGAAATACGGAAGCACGTTTTGCCATGTCCATGACTCATCTTTAACGATGTCAGCCCAAGAGTTGAAGTCACTTGGTTGTCCTCTGTGGTATATCATGTAGTTAAGAGAGCTAGTGCCACCAAGCATTTTGCCAAGAGTGAATTCGTAGTAAGATTGTAGATGACAAACGTCCTTGTAGGCATCATATTCAGCAGTGTAGTTCCAGTCATAGCGAGACCTCTTCATCAGCAGAGGTAAACCGGGAATCTACAAGAAAAAATGTATGATTTTTATTACGGTTCAAATAAGTTACTTGTTTTTTTTTTATTCTTGTAATATTATACTCACATTTTAAGCATAAGTAAGAAATATTTTTAATCACTTGTAAACAAAATAATTATCATAACTCTATATTATTGAAATGATAATTATATCTTATAACTTTATTTTAATTTTATATAAGATATTTTAGATCCTGACTTATAGGAGTTGCAGCAGTTATGGACTTGTACGATTAAAAAAATATTGAATTTTTTTTTTTCAGTGTGCAATGTCTGGCTTTTATTTATCGGCTTCATTTAGTAATAGTCAATTTTCAATAAGTACATAAATGAATCTTCTCTTAACCTATTTAAATATCAAGTGGTAGTGCAAGTGTGGTATGTAAGTATTACGAATGAAATGAATTAAAATAAAAAAAAAAAATCTATATTTACATCGGATTCGAAAGGCGGATCACCACCAGCCTCGATGAGCAACACGTGGACGTGCTCAATTTCTGACAATCTGTTGGCTATCAAACTTCCAGCCGTTCCCGCGCCGACAACGATGAAATCAAAACTTTGGCCATCTGTAACAATAAGAAATAAATTATCATTACACACCGTAAACATTCAAGGTTACGGAAGACACTTACATATTAAAGTAATCTTACGTTCTCATTATTACCTATAAATATTTTTAATTGACTGATTCCATATTGTATTAACACAAAATGAATGTCAATGAACTAGAATGTCTGTTATGTAGAGCAATAATCTGCTGATTAGCATTTTTTTAAGGGGGGAAAATCATCGAATGACTGCTCCCGCCTGGGTGAGACGGGAGGGAGTGTCAGACTCTTACTGACTAAAAACCACCCCGTTCCTTCTCCTGCACGCCGAGCCGGAGCCTCGATTACCCGTTAGGTTCTCC